TAGACTAAGTTAGGAGAAAATAATTTGATCAAGAGCAGCAAAGCGAAAGATGGGTGGTTAAGTAAGCACATCTGAAGTCTCGCAAAAACTGCAAAGCTATGGAGAGACGCCTGATTTATGCTGGCTATTAATATGATGGCATCATTGTTACACTGGCCTGGGTTATTTCAGTCTAAGCACTTAGAGGAATCCAATCTCTGCTTAAAGTGGATTAAACAGCTTTTTCTGTCATGTTTATGCTTCCTGCCTGCACCAAAAGTAAGGCGAGGCTAATTCTGAGCAGCCTGAAAACTCTGATTTCTTACTGAGATCACATGAAGCTGTTCTTATCATTAAAAACTCAAGTAATTTAAAGTAAAAACATTGTTGGCAAGGTCATTTAGATATTCTAATATAACCTTTTTTATTTTGAAATCAGTGAAAGGTCTGAATGTCCAAGGAAGCTGGAAGTTGTATTTCTAATCAAGCTAATTAGCATTTCCATTCTCAGATGGGCCAACTTGTTCAAACAATTGCTGCATATCGCAAAAAACTACGGGTTAGGATGAGAAAAACACACACACATGAATGGAACTTTTCTCAAATGACCCTGTGCACACACCCACCACATCTGTGCTGCTACTTTATAATCCAGCCAGTTTGTGAGAGCACTCCTTTGACGTTAATTAGTGCAGCAGAGTATGGATGGGAGGTGACAGTAACAACCAAGAAGGCCCTTGACTTAAATTATGATGGAGCTTATTTGATGGAAACAAGCCATTCCTGAAGCTGCGGACACCGGAGACTGCTGTTTGGGCTTGACGAGAGCTTAGTTATGAGTCAGTGTCTGCAGGAATGTAACAGCATAACAGTGCGATTGTGTAGTTCGCAAATGCCTGCAAGTCAACGGGAGTTCAAGTACCCTTCAAACAACTATTTCGTGAACTGTGCATTAACCCTTCGTCGTCCCTTTCTTAGTTTAGAGTCACACTGTTGCCACTTCACACACATTTGTGAAGTGTCCAGTGATGTGTGGATTTTCTATGTGCTAGAATTCCTAATCCTGGTTACTGTATGTTTATTTTATTAGTTTAACTAAATAGAGTCCCAAGGTTCTTTTGTTCTTGCTTGTTTGAATTGTTTTTTAGTGCAGGGAGTCTTCATAATAGCAGTTCTGCAGGGCACACACAGTCACCATGGAAACTGATGTGATCCTGTTAAAAGGGTGGCTGTAACCATGATAGGAAAAAATGTGTTTTTGCTTTTTGCAGCTCCCTCCAGTGGCCAGTGATTTTTTTCATCTTTTTTT